TAGATAGGTAGATAGGCAGGTAGGCAGATAGGCAGATAGGTAGATAGGCAGATGATAGATAAATAGATAATAATCCAGTATTCTCCTTCCTTGAAATCCTTCTTCCAAAGATCTTGTCCTTCATCCAACTTCAGTCATCAACTCCCATGGCCATAAAGCCTAAACTTTTGTTATTATGAATGACAGTAACTTTTCCGTAATCTCAAAGTCATATATCTCACTCTCTGAGCACGTAAAACCATCTAAGACCCACTAGGACTTCCCATACGTTGAATCTACTGCCTTTTCATGGGCCCTCCCTTTCTGAGGCCCTCTCTCCTCTCCTCAACTGACTGTTGCCATGAGTTCATTCTAACTCATGGTGACCCCATGTGTGTCAGAGTAGAACTCTGCTCCACAGAGTTTTCAGTGGCTGATTTTTCAGAAGTAGATTGCCAGGCCTTTTTTCTAAAGAGCCTCTGGGTGGACTCAAACCGACAATCTTTCAGTTAGCAGCCCAGCCTTAACCATTTGCACCACCCAAGGACTCCCTTCTTTACCCAGCTTAATTTCCATGGTCAATTATGATAATCACCTGCCTGCATATATCCTTGACTACCTTGTTCTTCTCTTGTATTATTAATTTAGTTAGCAAATCTGTTCTACCTCCTAGTTCATTGTGTAGTGCCTGGGGTCTTAAAACTTGCAAATGGCCATCCAAGGCATGACAATTGATCTCTATTCACCTGGAGCAATAAAGGAAGGAGAGTCAGGAATAGGAGGAGGAAATGGAATGTGTGGCTAATTGCCTCCATGAACAACTGCCTCCTTTGCCTTGAGACCAGAAGAACAGGACAGTGCCCAGCTACCATTACTGAACATTTTGATCAAAGATTCTATAGAAAAATCTTGATCAAAAGGGAGAAAATGAAGAACAGAATTTCAAGTTCTCATGGACTCCAGAGTTTCCAGAGCTATGAGGGCTGCTTGAACCCTTAAAACTATTGCCCTGAGATAATCTTTAAAGCTTAAACCAAAAATACTCCCTGAAGCCTTCTTGAAAAAAAACAATAGTTTAACTAGTTAAAAATGTCTGCCTTGAGCATTATGCTCTTTAAAAACTATCTATATGAGATGGAACTCTGGTGGCACAGTGGTTAAGAGCTAGGCTGCTAACCAAAAAGGCAACAGTTCAAAACCACCAGCTGTTCTTGGAAACCCTATGGGGCAGTTCTATTCTGTCTTATATGGTCGCCATGAGTCAGAATCAACTAGACGACAACGGGTTTAGGTTTTTCTTGTTATATGGGATCAAAATGACACCAGCAACCCCAAAGATCAGCTAGGAAAATTAGGGGGCAGTGAATTTATGTTAATGGGAGAGGAATAACTCAGAAAAGGAGGGTGCGAATGGTTACACAACTTGAAGAATGTAACCAATGTCACTGAATTGTATGTGTAGAAATGGTTGAAATGATGTACGTTTTGTGTGTATATTCTCAACAACAACGAAATAAGTAAATAAAACCATTTAGCAAAATCACAAGTCTGGTTAAATCCAACTTTTACACAGCTGAGCAATATTGGAAGAAAAAAAACCATGATGCCACCTGGTCTCACTTTAAATTCTTGACTGTGAACCCCAATTTTGCTATTAATGCTGTCAGGAAATTGTATTGTACTTCTCTGGTTCATTCATCTTCCACTCTCTTTGGTGACTATTTCATACCTTCTCTCTCTTCTTCCTCTACCCTCATTCTCAGCAATCAGAAGAGGACTTCCACAGACTCCCACCCCACCTCTACCAACCTAACAGGGCATACTCTGTTTTCTCATCTGCTAGCAGAGATGAACCACCCATGTCCATATCTAAAACCATTTATTCATTCATGGGGTATGGTCTTAGTTATCTAGTGCTGCTATAACAGAAAAACCACAAGTGGATGACTAAGTTATCTAGTGCTGCTATAACAGAAAAACCACAGGTGGATGACTAACAAACAGAAATTTATTCTCTCCCAGTTTGGGAGGCTAGAAGTCCGAATTCAGGGCGCCAGCTCCAGGGGAAGTCTTTCTCAGTCGGCTCTAGGTGAAGGTCCTTGTCATCAATCTTTCTCTTTTCAGCACAGGGAGCCCAGGTCCAAAGGATACACTCTGCTCCTGGCACTACTTTCTTGGTGGTAGGAGTTCCCCCTGTGTCTCTGCTCGCTTCTCTCTTTTATATCTCAAAAGAGATTGACTCAAGATACAACCTAATCTTGTAGATTGAGTTCTGCCTCATTAATATAACTGCCTCTAATCCTGCCTCATTAACATCATAGAGGCAGGATTTACAACACATAGGAAAATCACATCAGATGACAAAATGGTGGACAATTACACAATACTGGGAATCATGCCCTAGCTAAGTTGACACAAATTTTGTGGGGACACAATTCAACCCACAACAGGGTTATTTCCTCCTTGCCCAAAGACATTGCCACAGCAATTCTCCACCCCTTTCTTATATTATCAAAATTCTGCTCACCATTGGCCCATTCTTACCAGCTTACAAACATGCCATTATTTCTTCCATTTTAGAAGAAAAGTCTCTTGACTTCACTGTCATCACCAGCTATTGCCCTTTGCAGCAAAATTTCTTTAAAAAGTTGTTTCTACTTAAGCCTCCAATCTATTACTTCCCATTCTCTTATTATTTTTTTTTATTGTGGTAAATATACATGTAACAAAACATTTTCTGTTCCGACATTTTTTACATGTACAATTCACTGACATTAATCATGTTCATCATGTTGTTCAAACCATTACCATTATCCAGTTCCAAATTTTTCTACCACCATTAACAAAAGCTCAATGTCCCCTAAGCAATGAGTTCCCCTTTCCTCCTCCCCCCTACTCCTGGTAACCACTAAGAAGCTTTGGTCTCTATACACTTACCTATTCTAAATAATTTATGAGTGGGATCATATAATATTTGTCCCTTTGTGACTGACTTACTTCACTCAGCATAAAGTTTTCAAGGTTTTCCATGTTTTAGCATTTTTCCATTCTTTCTTAAACCTACTCCAACCAGACTTTTCCCCATCACTACACTGAAACTGACCTTGTCAAAAAAAAAAAAAACCCGTTGCCGTCGAATGGATTCCAACTAACAGCGACCCTATAGGACAGAGTAGAACTACCCCAAAGTCACTGATAAACTCCACATTGCTAAATCCATTGGTCGATTCCCACTCCTAATCTTAGTTGACCTACCAGCAGCATGTCACACAAATGTCTCCCTCCTCTGTTGCCTTCTAGGACATCACACCCTCTTAGCTTTTCCTCCTACCTCACTGACCGCTCCTCAGCCTTTTTGGCTTGTTACTCTTCTTCTCCTAGACCTCTTATTGTTGGAGTGTCTCAAGGCTCAGGCTTTAACCTTCTTCCCTGCTCTATTTAATCCACTCCCTTGATGATTTCATTCAGTTCATGGTTTTAAATACCATATATTGGCTGATTATCATGAAAGTCTATCTCCAGGCCAAACGTCTCTTGGATTCAGATGCACATATACAGCTGTTTACTTAATATCTACACTTGATATCTGTAAAAACAGTATGGGAGAGGTGTCCGACCTCCTCCGACCCTACAAGGGGGAAGGAGAACCAAGATCAACAGCCCAAGGCTGATTCTTATGAGGTAGAGGTCAGAC